AAAAAAGCAACGGTTGAGGATGCAGTCTAGTGGTAGAGCACTTGCCTAGGGTACACAAGCCTCTGGATTCAGTTTACCCATTTTTCTTTCTAGAGTTTTGCTCTGTAAGTCAATTTTAAATGTTTGAGTTAATCTTCATATATGCTGCCTTTGCGTGTGGTATCCCATTTCACTAGCACTGTCCATTGAAAAGACTGACTTCTTACGGAGAAGTCGTCGTAATACCATGTCCTTGAGTTCCACTGCACCTTAAGCCATTGACTAGGTCCTCAGTTGAAATGCCTAAGTAGAAAATTGATGGCCAAGTAAAGAGAAAGAAGGTACTGAGTGGAGAGACGGGAGTGGACCCAGCCAAGCTTATGTCATCCTTTCTTGGGGGTGACCACAGGTGGCTGCCTGGATTTGTGTCACATTGTCAGTTAAGTCATATTACTAAAATGTGCACACTCGTCAAATCATTGTATGTTCATTTCAGTCAACAAATACTCTGTTAAGTGAAGGTAAGATCGCAGTTGACACTAGGTGTGACTGTGGTAGTGGCACTGACGAAGTCATTAAAGGCAGCCGCACTCATTTTGGTTATTGGTTGGTTTGAGACAGGGTCTGGCTGCATAGCCAGCTAGCCTCTCTTGGCTCAAAACCCTTTTGCCGTAGCTTCCTGAGTGCTGTGATTACAGGTGTAACTGTACCTGGCTTCCTCTTCCTTTCCCCTCCACACCCATCACCATTACCACTACTAAGTAGTCCAAACTGGCCGTAATCCTTCGGCCTCAACTTCTGAGTGTTAAAATTATAGGTGTGCACCGTCAAGCTTGAGTTTCACTTATTAATAGTCCATATATTTAGGAGTTAGAGATAACAGATTAGTGATGACTATGTATTTGGAAGAATTTTACCAGTGTGTGATAAACTGTTCATAATTTATGGTATTATTAGTAATTCTTTTTTAGTAAATAGCTAAAATACCATTTTTGTATGAAAATGATTGTTTCTGATGAAGATTGCTCCTTTGATAAATGTTAAAATTAAGAATCAAAAGTGGCTAATGCTAGGACCTTGGTTGAGTCAGAAAGAGAGCTGTGAGTTCCAGGCCATCCTGGGCTATAGAGACCCTATCTCAGAAAAACAGGCAAAAAATAAAATGACACTCTAAAAAAAATGCATTTATTTATTTATTTATCTACCTACCTACCTACCTATTTATTTATTTATTTAATTATTTATTATGTATAAAGTGTTCGGTCTGCATGTGCGCCTTCACATCAGAAGAGGGCACCAGATCACACGATAGATGGTTGTGAGCCATCATGTGGGTGCTGGGAATTGAACTCAGGACCTCTGGAAGAGCAGCCAGTCCTCTTAACCGTTGAGCCATCTTTCCAGCCCCCCGTAGATTGACACTTAACAGTAACCACGTTAAGCAGCCAGAATGCACTTTTTTGATGGGGTGTGAGCAGCCTTTTAACATGTACATTTTCATCCAGCATGAGCGGTTACTGGTGTGCCTGGCAAGGACACGTGCTTACATTTCCTGTCCACACAGGTGAAGCCCGCAGGCTCTGGTGTGGGTAGGCTAAGTCAGGAGGTTACTGTCAATATTTCAGATCCCAGCTCCTCCACCATTTTCCTTCCATTTGCGTCACCTGGCTAGCTCTTACTGCATGTTGAGTGGGGCTATATTTGACAGTCATTTGGCTGGTCTTTATTTATTTATTTATTTTTAACCTGAATATTTCCTTGCAGTTTTAGCTTGCAGAACCTTTGGTTGAGGCATTTCTGGCCCCTGTCACATGAAAATAAGAAGAACTAGAAATCTTAAACTTATATTTTTGCTGATTAAGTCCAATCTATCCCAAAGTTTTGTTTTGTTTTTTTAACTTTTGAGAAGACGCTATTCAGACTCTAAAACTCAAAGAAAGAGGCATGCTTATGGTGGGTTTAAAGAGCAAAAGCCTCCTTGCTTGCTATTTTTACCTCCAGTTCTTTTCTCTCCGTCTGTGGCTCCATAAGGGAATTTTCTGAGCGCTAGGCAGTCACGTTTCTTGTCAATAGGTGAAGAGCTGTCAGGCTTAGTGCCCTGAAAGTCACCCTGTATCATAACCAGGTGGCAGCCTTTGAACTGGGCTTTGAGCTTAGCTCTTTCATTGCTGAGTTCTTGCTATTGTGTTGTAGAGGTTGGATGCTTGTTTTAAGTAACATTTTCTATAGTTTTCAAAGGGCTTCTCAGTCCGCTCTGGTTTGATTTTCACTCTGTAAGGTAGCATGCTGTAATAAATAACTTTAAAGTTTTTTGACGACATACCTAAATGCTGGGAATAAGGGCTTTTTACATTTATGAGTTCATCCCTTACCCATTTTTAAACTTAATATCTGACATCATTTCTGTTAATGTAGGATACAGAGAAGTTGTAAGCTGGTTAGTTTTGTGTATTGAGTTCTAGAAACTTTCTCACTTTACCTGAGATTTCAAGTAATTCACTTGGAAAACCCAGTCACGTCAAAACAAGGTGATTTTATTTACAAGTCTGGCTTGATAATTGATGGCTTATCATGCTGGCAATGCAGGCCATTGCTTCTTGGTGAATAGGCATAGGAAAGAGGACACACTGTAATTGAAAAGGTTGCTTGAAACAGGATGAAAACAGCTCATATTTTTTTTGAGAACTGTTCTGTCAGGGTATTTGTATCCTAATCCATTGCCCTCCTCCCTTAAAAGAGAGTCTTAGTTAAATAAACAGACCAGTCTCTTGGAGTGGAGAACCTTTCAGCAGGTACGACTGCAGAGACACTGATAAACTACTTCTTTTTTTTATTATATTTATGGATTAGCAGAAATTTATGCTTTTATATCATGACGTATTATAGTTTATAAAAATAGGGTTGTGCTTAGTATTTTTACTTCCTTATTTAACACAGAATTACCAGCCCTGTAACTGATGAGTAGTTAATCCCCATGTATTGCGTGCTTCTTGTTGCTATCAAATGTGGTCCAATTTTATCTGTACCAGTTTTTAGAGAAATGTTTTTGATAGCTCCATTTGTTAAATTATTAGCACAGAATTTGAATCTGAATTTTGAGAAATGTTCTTTTGTTAAAGAGTCATTTTTATTTAACTTATGTATGTGTACGTGTGTAACACGTGCTTGGTTGTGGGGTGGGGTGTGTGCACGCGTGGCTGTAGGTGCTGGTGGTATCCAGAGAGCGTGTCAGGGCTCCTGGAGCTGGAGTTAGAGGTGGTGAGCTCTGGTTCTCCGCAAGAGCGGTTTGTTCTCTTGGCCCCTGGACCGTCTCTCCAGTCTTGGAAAAAGACTTTCTTGGTTTCTGTTTGTTTTGTTTTTTTGGAAACATGCTCTCACTGTGTAGCCCTGTCTGGCCTGGAACACTCGGCCTACCAATCTATAAAGTTGACATTAAATTATTTCAGAATGTGAAGCAAGATTTTTGTTGGTCTCGGTGAAATACGAATGTGTGTATGTGAATGTGTTGGCTAGTTTTATGTCAACTCTACATCCTTGTCATCAGAAAGGAGGAAACCTCGATTGAGAAAAGGCCTCCATAAGATTGGGTTGTACACAAGCCTGTCTGGCATTTTCTTCATTGGTGATTGATGTAGGAGGGCCCAGCCCACTTTGGGTGAGGCCACCTCTGGTCTGGTGGTACCAGGATGTGTAAGAAAGCTGACTGAGCAAGCCAGTAAGCAGCACCCTTCATGGCCTCTGCATCAGCTCCTGCTTCTGGGTTCCTGCCCTGCTTGAGTTCCTGTCCTAACTTCCTTCAGTGGACACCGAAGTGGAAGCGGAAGCCGAATATACTCTTTCCTCCTCAACTTCCTTCTAGTCTTTAGGATTGGCAGAGTAAGCTGCTTCAGGAGAACACGTGCAGCAGTGGGCTGATTACTACATCATTGAACACCCATGCACCAGCCCAGAACAAACTTAAAGGCAAAATTCTTCCATCCAGAAAACTAATAATTTATTTTCAGTAGTCTTGTCTCACTACTGGGACTGAGCTGGCAGTTTCTGTGTCTTTTAGTCAGGTTTTATGTGTAAATACCTTGTTAATACAAATGTCAGGAAGCGAAAGCAAATCAAAGGGCATTTTAAGAACCAAGAGTATTTGAAACAGTATCTGCTAATGTGTGTGGACAAAATTTCATGTTTTAAGTGTTAAAGATTTTCATAAATCCTACCAAAGCTAATTTGACTTTGATATAGTGTGCACAAGGCTGCATATAATAATCTTTAGTGTAAGCCTATATAATTAGAAAAATACAGTCTTTTTCTTAATTTATAAAAGATAACGCAATGATGACCCAGCCTGTGGCTAGAAGAATTTGACTTTGTAAGGATTCATTTAGTGCCTCTGTTGACCTAAGAATGACTTAACTGTCTTGCTAACCTTTAAGCCTGAATGAAGCTTGAGACCAGCCATCACTTGGTATATGGTACAGTTGATTAAGTGTTGCCGTAAGAATGCCAGATCTGTTGTTATCCAGACAATCCTTCCTCTCTAATGTATTCTTTGATGAACCTCTCAGGGTGGGGCATTTTGTAGACAGATGTGGTTTACTCGGTGTGCACTAGCGGCTCTTGAGCGGCTAATGTGACGCAGATTAAGAGCCGTCCCAGGACAGGCGATGGAGGGGGTGTTTAGGGCTTGTTTAAGTAGTGGCAGCAAGTTAAGTGCGACTGTGTTAGTTGGATTTTGTGATGTGTTACGCGAAGTGACTGTCAAGTGTGGTATTCAGGAGTGCATAGACTCCCCACCCTTCCTGCCCAGTGGAAAAGTGCTTAACGATAGGGAGGACATTCCCTGGACAGATGTCACTCACAAAGCAACGTGAAAATGATGAAGCTTAAAAAAGTTTACTTGCCATTATGTTTTTGTCTTGCGTTAACTGGCTATTTGAATTTTCAAATTTCCCATTTTTCCTTGATTAAAATGTCAATGAAAAGTACCGTGTGGCATGAAATTGACTTATTTTTTTCTCTCCATACAGAAGATCCACCATGAGGCGAGGTGGATGGAGGAAGCGAGCTGAAAATGATGGCTGGGAAAAATGGGTGTGTTTCAGTTAATTAAGATATTTAAATGTCTAGATGGTTTTCATTCTTTTTACTTTATAATGTTTATAATTTGGCTTAAGGGATAACATGGGACTTTACACACCAACTCTTTTGTTTTCACAATGCATTGAAAACCTTAACACTGTTCATAAACTCTAACCCTAACTTTATTTTACTGTCAAGAATTTTGTCCTGAGGACGTAGATATTCTTACAACAATTTAATATATTTTGTTTTATCTTAGCATTGCTAATAATACTGAGAAATAGGAAAAATACGTAAGTATCCAGTAGGTAGGATGTTGTCAGTTAATCGTCTGCATGTAGTGAAACACTGCTGTTACTGCTCAACTTTATGTTAACCTGGAATGATAGTCTGTATAAAGCAGTGGAGTAAATGCGTATTACCTGTGATTCTAATGACTGTTGTGAGACATAGAAAGGCTTGACTTGACCTTCCCAAAATGTTAGTGAAAGGGGTTGCATCCATTTTAATTTTCTTTCTATATCTCTTATTTTCTGAAAAAAATTATAGTGAGCATATACAATATTACTAATCAGTAAAAATAAAGATCTTCTGCAGTTTGGACAAGTGTGCACCACTAGCTGGCCACTGTAGCTGTACTCTAAAGACATAGTAATAAAGCAGGCGGGTCTAATTATTGTACGGTTAAAAGCGGGCTGTGTTCCTACATCTGTGGGGAGCTGCCACTGTGGCTGATGGCCTCTCCTTGATTGTAGGGCGGGTACATGGCTGCCAAGGTCCAGAAGCTGGAAGAGCAGTTTCGCTCAGACGCTGCTAAGCAGAAGGACGGGACGCCGTCAGCAATATTTAGTGGAGTCGCCATCTACGTTAACGGATACACAGGTTGAGTACCTTTAACTTTTTGGTGCCCAATTTTATCATGAACTTTTTAGGATTGAGAATTGTTTTTTTTAGCTTCTGTTAGTTACGTTTTTGTTGCTGTGATAAAATACCGTGACTGAGGCAACTTACGGAAGAAAGAGTTTTTTAGTTTATTATTTAATTTACTTCTATTTTATGTTCGCTGCCATTTTGCCTGTATGTAAGTCACAGTGAGGGCTCAGATCCTTTGGAGCTGGAATTATAGGCAGGTGTGGCTGCCATGTGGGTGCTGGGAGTTGAACCTGGGTCCCTAGAAGAGCAGCTGGTGCTCTAACCACTGAGCTGTCCATCTCTCCAGCCCGGAGTGAGCTTTTTGTTTGCAGTTCCAGAGGGATGAGACCATCATAGCAGGGAGCTTGAGAGCTCATTCTCCACAGCAAACATGAAGCAGGGAGAGGAACTGGAGTTGGTGCTGGCCTGCATGCTCTCAGAACATGTGGTTAGGTATGCCCCTAACTAGGCATACCCTGTAACCTCGCTGCCAGGGTTCAGATAGTTGAGCCTATGGGAGACGTTCTTATGGAAACCTGTACATTCTGATTCCCAGTCTCCAAAGACTCAGTGGCCATTACTATAATGCAACGTGCATTTAATCCAACTTGAAAAGCCGCCATAGTCTTCCACAGTCTCCATAAAAACCCTGTGAATTCTAAAAGCAAATTATTTTCAATATACGATGGCACAGAATATGCATTACCATTCCTAAAAAGAGGAATGGGGGCATAATCAGGAAATAATGGACCAAGCAAGACTGATACACAAAAGGTAAACACTAAATCTTCTATCTCAGCAGTTTCCAAACTGTGGGTTGTGACCCCCTTCAAAGGGGTCACCTAAGACCATCAGAAAACAGATATTTACATTACAATTCAGTTATGAAGTAGCAGTGAAAATGATTTTATGGTTGAGGGTCAGCACAACACGAACTATTAAAGGGACACGGCATTAGGATCTAGCTTCAGATCTGATAGCAGAGGGCCTAGATGGGGCCACCCTCTAGCATTTTGCCTGCAAAGTGTATCTCTCACAGGCAGGTCTCACTCCATGTGAGCGCCTCTACCTGGCAGATGGCTCACAGCTTTGGCACCTCCAATGTCTTAGAGGCTGTATGGAGACCCAGGCTTCGCTTTTAGAGCTTCCTGGCCTCTCAGGCTTCATGCAGGGACTCAGGATTGAGGTTGGCCAGGAGGCCCTTCGGGGTGCATGGTCGGGATTCCCCAGAGAAAGACTCAGATGTACTTTTGTTTTTTTGCTTTGAAAGGGTGTACCATAGTTGAGATCATTCTAGTTGCCAAAGGTCAGAAAAGGGCCATAGTTTTCAGTCTGGGAACAGTATTTAATAATCCTTTTGTTGTGGTTGTCTCTTCTACCAGCTGTAGTGAGTCTAATCTGGAAATTGTAAGTTTTATACAGTTTCAGCTGTGAACTGTATTAAGGCTTAACCTACTCACTCACTCCTTTGTCTAGTGGCTCTGGCTCTGTTCCATCAGTTTTTGTCCTCAACCCTATTGTTTATTATTTATTTTATTTTATTTTTTCTTTATTTTGATATCAAGTAACTTCTTTCTGGGTTTTCATTTACCTGACCTAGATTTTTTTTTTTTTTTTCTTCCTGATCATTTAGCACTTGTCTTTGTTTTTGGGAATTACTCCCAATTTCTTCCTAATTCTGAGTCTTATGGTCATTTTTGTGTATGTTCTCCCCCACAGCAAATAGTATGCAATATATATGTTAGTATTACTGTTTTTTAACCTGCTGTACAGCTGGCTGACACCTCTTTATGGTTGAAGATCTCTGTCATACATCACTTTGCTCAGTTGCCTGGCTGTCTTCATACTGGTTTAGATGAATTTGCAGTGTTCCTCTGGAGCTGGGGCTCTTTAATATTAGCACTCGCTAGACCTTAGTGTAGTTCCCTGTTACAGAGACAAAGCAAGAGCACATTTCCATTACTGTCGTATTGTACTGTTGTCTCTGGTGACTGAGCTTAACTAGTCAGGGAAGTTCGCTGAGTTAAAATATTAAAGTATTAATCAGTCAATATTTGCGTGGCTTGGTGAGGCACGCTAGTTACACGTATAAGTTTGCTGGTGAAGTGTTACCTCAGTGGGCATTGATTCAGCTTACAGAGTTCACCCGTAGAAAATGAAAAAATGTTTTTGCATGTATGTTGGCAAATTTCAATTCCTTAGATTTCAGTCATGTGTACTTTGTAAGGATAAAATTATTTAAAAAACAAAACCCACTTTTTATAATCATTAGAAAGTCCTCAATTCACTAGAGCACCCTTTTCACATGGGAGGAGGTGAAGGAGAAAAAGATTTCAGTGATTACTGTTATGTTGGTGGTCTGGAAGACATTCTGATTCCATTTTCGTGTCACTAAGTTTTATATGGCACATAAAACATTTTTTTGTTAGGATTCACTATTCTATCTTTTACCTTTAACATAGTGATAGTAATTTTTTTCTTGTTAATATTCTACAGTAATTCTGCTGTTATGCGGAATTTCACTGTGATACAAATTGTGATGTAAGCTGGGCACAATGGCATTTGCCTTTAATCCCAGCACTCACATGGGCAGAGGCAGGTGGGTTTCTATGAGTTCGAGGCCAGCCTGGTCTACAAAGTGAGTCCAGGAAAGGGAAGGCTACACAGAGAAACCCTCTCTTGAAGAAAAAAGAAATTGTGATATAAGGTGATGTTATTTTTAGGAAAAAAAAATGCTGAGTAAGTACCTTGTAGTTTTACAAATGAAACAGCAGAGTCTGTGCTGAATTAGCCAATAAAGAGAGTGTTTTAGGGTCAGCAGGTACGAGCACTTGTTGCCCACCCTCCCCGACCACCAAAAAGCTCTCAAGGTGGTGGCTTGTGGCCGGGGTGCAGATGGAGAAAGTCTCCCCTTCCTTGGCAGGGCGGGCCACTGGACCATGGCCCTGAGTATGTGGGCCGCGCAGCATGCGCTTCTTCTCTTTCTTTTGGGGGCCAACGTAGGAGTCCTGGGAGCATGATCAGAAGGTGCATGATGTGAGATTTCCAAGTAATCAATTTTTTAAAAGAAACAAAAATTGAAGAAGGGGAAGAAGCAGCAGCAGCAGCACTTGTTGCCCTTGCAGAAGACTTAAGTTTGATTCCCACATACCTTGGATGGCTCACAGTCAACTGTAACTCCAATCCCAAGGGACCTGACACCCCTCCTGCCTTACAAGCGAACCAGCCACGTGCTTGGTACACGTAAATAGTCACAAAGCAATAAATAACCTTAAAATAGTGTAGTGCTTTCGGGTGGGTGGAGTGCGGCACGCCTGTAATTCCAGCCTGAGCCGGACACTGTCCTCACTACCTCTGCTTCAGGAGACAGTGGGCCGGAGATACCTTCTTGTTGATGGAAGTCAGGGTCCCCAGACTTAGCACTGCTCCAGGTGAAGCTCCCAGTTCAACCAGCTGTACCATGTTCATACTCAGTCCCTTTGACCCAAATTAGTTGAATAACTTGAGCTTAAAAAAATCCTCTTTGCCTTTGCCAGCTTATTTTGGCTCTTTTATGTGTACTTGTGTGTTCATGAAGGTTTATGTACATGTGTGGAGGACAAAGTTGACACTGGGTGTCTTCCTCAACTATGCTCCATCTTATTTTTTTGAGATAGTCTCTCCCTGAATATGAAGCACATGTAAGAAATGACAGAGATCTCAGGAACTGTTTCATCTAGTGGTGGCAGAGAAGAATGTAATCCAGTCAGGACACGGGCGCTGATGTGGTAGAGGCATAGCACATTCCTGACAGTGGCCCTGCGTGTTGCCCATCGTAGCCACGCCTACTTCTCTCTCCCGTAACTCTGGGCAGCCACTGGCTGTTGTCTTCTAGCTTTAGTAGTGTTACACACGCAGGACACACAGCCTTTGTGTTTTCATAATGTTCTTTTTGACTCGGTATAGTTCTTTGGTAATTTGTCAAAATTGTTGAATCCATCAGTAGGTTTTTTTTTATTATATAGTGGTATTTCATGTTATCACTAGGCCACAGTTTATTAACGTTTGGCTACTGAAGAACATCTGAGTAATTTTAGATTTTGTTATAAAGTGTAGAAGTTTTTTCATGAACACAGTACTTAAAATTTTAATTTTTATAAAAATACAACTTTGCTAAGTTGTAATGCTCACAGTTTCTCGCTACCATTATGAATAATCTGGCTTGCATCCTTGCCAGTTAGTCATCCAGCTCAGTAAGGATGCATTGATGTTTCTCCGTGGTTTCAGCTCATGTACCAGTTGCTCCATAGTCTCAACCATGCTTGATGCTAGGTTTTTGTAAATTTTGTTGATACATTTTTAGAGATGTGTTATTTCATTGTGGTCGCTTTATCTATCTATCATCTATCTTCTGTGTGTACGCATGTCATGGTCAGAAGACCGTCTTTGGTATTCCTCAAGAGCTTCTTGAGGAAATGTCTTGTGCTCCAATTTGCTGACTAGTGAGACTGGTTGGCCAGAGAGCAAAGTTATCTCCCTCCCAGTGCTTGGGTGAGAAGTGCATGCTGCGAAGACTGGCCTTTTTCTCTCTCTCCTGTGGGCTCTGGGGACAGCTGAGATCCTTACTCATGCATGGCAGGCAGGAGACTGAGCTGTCCTCAGCCCTCAACGTGCTTTTAATTTGTGTTTACTTGTTAATGTGTTAGGCTTTCACTGATGTGACTAAATGCCGGAAAGTAACAGTTTTAAGAAAGAAAGATTTATGTTGGTTCATGAGTTTGGAAGCGTTGCCAGAAACAGGACAGTAGAATGTGTGTGTGGGAAAAGCTGTTCCCTTATGGAGGATGGGAACCAGAGAAGAAATAGGAAGGCAAGGTCCCTTTCCCCAATGATACATCCAGATACACTGTATCTCAGAAAGTTTCCAGTCTCCCCAAGTAGCCCCATCAGCTGGCCACCAAGTATTCAGCATATGGCTCTTTGGGAAGTAT